AAACCCGCTTGGACGCAGTCCTGTGCCACGTGCTCTAGGTGACCCTGCGTGTGCAGGGGGGTTGGACTAGATGATCTCTAGAGGTCCCTTCCAACCTTAAGCATTCTATGATTCTATGATTCTATGAAAAAGTTAGAAAATCTAATTTATGATTCATATCATTTTAGCCCTCACTAGGGGTGTCTGCCTGTGTTTGATGTTGAAGGAAGAGTGTGTGGGCATGTGCATGTTTCTATGCACATGTAATTTCTCCTTGGTACTGCATCCAAAGAATTGTGATTTTATTTCTGAAATTGACAGTGGCTTCTTAGAGTAATGCATTACAGGTAATGCATTAACACTGTAAAAATCTTCCAACATCTGTGGCACTGATTTTTAGATTAATATGTTAAAAAGGGCAGACACAGGCCTACCAAAAAAGTTTTAATCAAATCAGGTGCTTTTGACAAAACTTATTGGCTAAGATGCTCTCACTTCAGGCTCATGTATGCAGCAAAGAACGGCTTGAAATGGTCTTCTAAGTGCTGCTCAGTACAGGAGACACATGTGGCTTGGAGGGCCAGGCTTGAGGCAGGAAAGACAACGTCAAGGCATGCAGTATTTTGGCAATTCCAGATGGTTTATGGCCCTTCGTGCATTGAAGAAGCTGGCGTAAATTGGACTTCAGGGAGTAACCTGACAAACTAGCGTGTAGGCAGCACCCGGAGTGGAAAACATGTAGATACTGGCTCAATTAGATTTGAAAGGAGTAATCTGGGTATAGTAGCTGCTTTAGAAAATTAATAAATAGTCAGACAATTAACTTGCACTGAAGTTTTTGTGGTTGCAGTAAGCAGTCTGGCATGTCCAGCTAGCTGGCTTTAAGGTAATGCAAGCACGTTTGTGCAGCTGCATTCATGGAGCTGTTTCAGGTCCAACATAATTGAGAATTGGATTCAGAAAAATGGATTTTTTAAAAATGTGTGTCCCATTTTCCCTCTTATGTTTTTTTTAAGGCAAAATACAGATTATCCTCAAAAGCAGCTTGTGAAAAAAATATTATTTTGAAGCTGCACTGAAATGGCATTTACTAGTGACTCCAAGTGTCACTATTTTGATTATAAATTTTCTGAAGGGTGCAGTCTCATGCTTGCTTACTTGCAGTAGTGTAAGGGAGGAGCTTAATTTCATCTTCCATGTTCCTTTTATGGAGATTGTAATTTCAGAGAAAGAAGGGAAGGCTTACTTGATTTTTTCTGCAAAAATACATTAGGTAAATGTGAAATGATCCTTCCTGCCTTTACTTGCAAGTATTAGAAATGAAGGATTATCTGAGGGCCTGTTTACAGCTCAAAACATATTGCTGTTTAATCAAAATAAAAAAGTTAATTAAAGCAGTCAAATTTCCTCACATTTAAGTAACTTTAAAGCTTTAATAACTTCTTTTCCCAATCTGATTTTACCTGGCCCTAGAGAGCACTTTGGCAGACCAGTCGTAGGAAGCATATAGGAAGCATAGATAATAAATATGGTCCACTTATATAGAGACCTTATTCAGATTTAGGTCAACCACAACGATTTCACCTTATGTCTGAGTAAAGAATAGTCTTCTGATACACATTGTTTCAGCAGCCAGTTGCTTCCCTCTGCAGTGGAAGCGACAGGGAACATTGCAGGTTCGCAGCTTATTCAGCTGTGATTTAATCTACAGTTGTAGGTGTGCTGGGCCTGCTATATATTGACTTTTAGAATTTGTTTCCTGTAAAAAGCAAATGGAACTTGACTCTGAAGTTATTCAAAAGACCATGTGTTGTTCTTTGTAGTCGGAGAAGATTATTTCTAAGGTTAACTCTGTTTTTACACTTTCTTTTCCTTTTATCCACCTAAAAGAGGCAAAATATACTTTTACTTTACATTAAAATAAGCAAATATGACATTTCAAAAATATTGAAATATTTTAATTAAATTTCAACATAAATTTATCTTGGCGTAAAGTTACAAAGAAAATGTGAGAAATTCCCTCATTTGTTGAAGACATTCTAGTTATTACATGCCATTATTTTTGGCTGAAAATATATAAGAAAAGAAAAATACTGGTTATTTCTTAAACATTGTTGGTGATTTTTTTTTCCTTTTTTTTTTCTATCCCTTTTGCTGATTATGTTTAGTTTCAGCAATACAGACATTAATTTGTTCCTTCACTTAAATAACTCTATTTTAACTTGTTTTAGATAACCATACAGAGCAGAGTGACTGCACAGAAACCAAAGCTGGCAGTATGTGTAGAAGCCCCCCTAGCACTGTCCTGTGACCAGTTCGACTTTGATGATTTAGGTAAATTATTATAGTACCATTGCGGCTATTGTGTAACTTTTTTTTTTTTTCCTGGAGATATGTGAAGGATATAGCCCATCGAGTGCATTTTTGCAGATAAACTGCAGTGCAAGCAGGTGTATATGGGTCCCGCCTGCACTTCACAACTCTTATATGCCATTTGGCATATAAAAAAAGTGGAAAGGCTAAAAAATGGAGGAGTGAAGCTTCTTCTTTCATTTGTAGTATGATGTCTGGCTGCAGATGACGAGAGGAGGGTGGGGAACTTCACCAGGTGCAAATAAAAATATTCTCCAGAGATGAAAGCATGCAGGAGCATTCTAGCAATTTTGTATGTGCAGAATAGCCCTGCTGAGCTAAAAGCAGGGACTGAAGGCTTGATTATCCATGGCCTATCCATTCCTTTCTATTTGGAATGACATATGTTCCAAACCTAGCATTTACTGCTTGCTGAGTCTAGCCTTTAAACAGCCCTGTTGAGATGGCCGCAGCTGGGGTTATGTTGAAGAATGTAAATGGAGCTGCAAACCAGAGAACTGTGCCCTGCTGCCTCTGTTGGGACCGCAAACAAGTTCTGCCCTGAGGCATCTAGCACTGCTCACTGTTGATAGAGGGCTTTACTGCTGCTCTAATCTCAAAGGAAAGAGGTCTCTTGTTTCTTCAATGTGTGGCAGGAATAAAAGGTGAGGACTTTATAGGATGTTAAGATCACAATATATTATTGCTCTTGTTTTGAGATTTTCTGTGCTTTAAGATAGTGTTGGTTTGACGAGGCTAGATGCTTTTTACAAACATGTATTTCAGAAAAAGTACTAACCATGATTTGATGAAGTTTGGACTGATGGAAGTGACTATCATAATTTAATGAAATATTTCCTGAATGCTAGAAACTGTTGCCTTTTTCCCTATTACTTGATTTAATTTTGTATTATCTGTAGAACCAGATGCATCTGAAACCGTGGTCCTGTCTGTCTTTTTGAAGGGGAATTGTCTTCCACCAGAACTGGAGGGGGATTGTGTGGCTTCATACAGCACACCGACAGGTGAGCCTCTCTGATGATTTCACGTTGATAAGCCTTTTATTTTTATTTTCAGGTCTTTTTCTTTGCCTGTTTCTTTTGACCTTTGCTTGACATATTTTAGAAGGTGTAGTAATTAAAGCAAGAATGTATTTGAGAATCCAGCAGTTGTTTTGGTTAATATTTCATGCAGCATCATTAAGTTGCACAATCTGTTTGCTAGCAGTAAAATCATGTTTATGGCCCAAGAAGCAGCTGTGCAAGCTTCCCCATCCTGCCCCATTTATTTGCCTCCATTCAGCTCTTCTAGGGACCACCTCTTGGAGTGAGAAGTTAATTACCTCTATGACTGTTCAGCTTTTGGGGCTGCCAACAAATGTGACAATAACTGCCTCCCCAGGGAGGAGGAGGACTTGGATAAGCTCGGACTGAGTAGTCCCCCCCTTCACTTCTAACAGTGCAATGAATTCATTCTGAACAAACAAGCTAATCCAAAACGATATAATTCGTCATTCTGTTTAAAGATGTCTTAGCGACCCTTGTGTTAGAATATGTAAATTTATCCTGCAATTTATAACTTAAAGCTGATTTGTTTAATTTTCCTACAGCAGCCCTTGTGAGTATTTGTCTGTATTGGTCAATTTGTCAACTGAAACTCATGCTTTTTGTAAAACTTGATCATATCTTTCCTAGGCTAGATTTAGGTGCATGTGGTAGGGAATTAAATTATATTCTTCCCTTTCTCTTGAGAGCCTGCACAAACAGCTTATGCAATTTAGTCCTTCCATATTGTCTCTTAGTCTCCTTATTTCTTGTGTCCCATATAAAGTCATGTGGCTTCAACTGCTGTGAAGTTATAGTTGCTGTGGTGCAACTATATAGGTTGTTTCTGAGTGTATGGATCTTCTGATCTTTTAGTTTTCCTGTTTTTCTTTCTGTGATTTACATTTACAAGATCACTATATGAAACTGAGATGGAATTTTGTATATTTTCCTTTTTGGTTAGGAAAGCAGGTAAATCTTATCTTGAATGTCTTTGAGTACAAATGTACGTACAAACAATCCCCAGGAGATATGAAATCTAAAGTTTATTTTGAATTGTGGAACTTACAAGAACTCTAAATGCAGAAAAATAGATTTTATCTTTATAAAATTTTAGATGTTCACTTAATAATTTCAGTTGGGAAATGTACAAATTTCCCAAATTTCAGTTGGGAAATGTACAACTGTTGGGTTTGTACTCTGTGATGTACAAAATTAGTGCTAACATAGTTTGTTTGAGATGATAATAAATTAAAGCTATAAGTAATGTGCTAGCACAGTAAAATGAAGAGCTTTTTTTATGAGTTCATTTTATCTGAATAGTCTTTTTCCTCCTTCTTTTAAATTTAAGATAACAGTATTTGTGACTAAATTAGTCTTCAATGCAACTGTGTAGGATTCATAAAACTGATGATTAATATGAATTAGCAGCTGGATGTTGTTGAAGAGTTGATGCGCGTGGTATCATAACTTGTCATGACTGTTTTTTGGCTAGTATTATATTTTGTATTTGCCTACTTACAAACAGGACTTAAGTTTATTTATTTTGTAACTTATTAATAATTTTCTCTTTTCTTTTATGCCGCTGTTTAAATGGTAGAGCTCAATCCTGAAGGTGAGTGAATGAAAAAAATAGTCTGAGTATTCTTAAGAGTGAGAACACTTACTGAACAAAGTAGATTTGGAAGTGAGCTGTTAATTTATCTACTACTTCTACAACCTACTATCCTTGCAGTGATGCTGCTGTGAAAATGAATATAGGAGAAATTTGAAAGTGAACGAAACTTTACCTACAGGAAAATAGAAATAATGAATTTTTTCAGTGAATTATAATAGACTTTCCCATATGTGACACAGGAGTTTTGCAGTCGGTTAAGCATTTTTTGCTTTGAGGTTTGGAAATGAAAGTTGTTTGTGATTAAAGCTACAACTTTGCTGCCTGATAAGTTCTTACTGAAACTTGAAAAAAAATGTCCAAGAAACCCATACCATTGTGCTTTCTATTTCCAACTTTGCAACTGTTTGTAAAAAAAGTAGCTCTGAGAATAATGTCACAAAACTCTATTCATTCCAAATCCTGTTGGAAGCATCAAAGCTAAAATATTACTTTCTGTGTGATTAAAAATGTCAGCACAGAACTTAGTTGTGGTTGTTGTGAATGTGATACTTGCAAGAGCTACAAAAAGACAAAACAGGAATGAAAAGGTAGCTTACATATTGGTAGGCTAAAAAGATATTATTTTTGAAAAATGGTTGTGTACAGGTATACAACAGTCTCAATAGGAAATAATTTACTGACATAAAAATCTTAGGGAGAAATTCTATCTTGGGGGGCAAAATTTTGCTTCTGATGGATTTAGGGGTCAACCAAAAGAGTGTTTTTGCAGTTTTCTTCTAAACGTAGGTGTATTTATAGATATATGTTTGAAACTTATCTTCCATACTTATGCTCTTAAAAGCATCCTAGAAGTGGAAAAAGTATATTACTGTCTTAATGGCCTCCTTCCTTTCCTATGGGTTCTGGATATTTCAGGGGACCTCAAGATGCTGTACAGAAAGTAGATGCTGAACTATTTCAAAAAAAACAAAATAGTATTCTTGGCAAGAATGGCTGTCATCATGTGGCAGATTTTTACCATGCAAAGTAATTGAATTATTATTAAATATATAGAAAAAAATATAAAAATGCATATAAGATGGGTGACATTCTGAAAATTAAGACAGTAATATGATGTTCTTTGATTTAAGAAACTCAGGATTAAAACCTATTAATGCTAAAGAGCACTGCATTGTGTGGAGCACAATGAACTTTGTAGAATTATCCCTGGTAAAATTTCTGTTTGGGTTAGTGTGATGTGCACTAGACTAGTTAAATTCAATCTCATAATAATAGAAAAGGTGTGAATTCTCTGAATATTTATCACTCCAAATTGCAGCTCTGAACTTAACGGTTTCTTTTATCATACGCATCAGATGTCATATTATAGACATAATTAAGATTAATGCGTGAGTAATTTGGAAGTGGAAGCCTAACTACAGTGCATGTAATTACGTTATTGCTTTCATCTGGTAAGCACATAGTATATCTTTAACTATAATGGAAACATTATGAGATGGTCTGATTCAGTCATATTTCAGAGTAGTTGTTCTACTTTTAAACATCGCAAAGAAAAACATTTCTATGTGGTTTCTTCTCCATTTTTACAGTGTTAAAATTATATGGTGCCCATTGCATCACAACTCTAGATGAAGCAAGATCAATTACTAGACATAACAGGAAGACTAGGAAATAGACTAAAGAAGTTCTGGCTTCCCAGACTTTGCTGTTGCTTTGGGTCCCTTCCCACTCTAGCAGGTCCAATGAAGCATTTCAAAAGAATTTCTGAAAATTAGTATTTCATTCTAGAGACAAATTTTTCTGGAGCTTTTTGGTTTTGTTTTCTTACATTCACGGTGGATTCTTGTAAATTGGAAATCTCCCCTGTCCCTTCTGTCAACATTTCTCTGAAATGTTGAAAAATTATGCTTCGTTATGAGCCACATTGAGAACAGGCAGTCAAGGAGAAGGTGGTTTGAAACAAGAAGAAAAACACCTTTCTTTATATTTGAAAGTATTTCATAATCTTTTGGCTAATCTTGTTACTAATTTTTTCCTGTCGCAACAGTCTCTGAAATAGGTCCAAGTTTAACAACAAAATATTTATTATATCGTCATAAGAAGAAAAGACTTAAAATTTCCCATTGGATTATGAAGAGATAGTTGGACAGATCATTCTGAAATGTCATATTTAAAAAATATATATGTATTTTTCATCAATTCTTGAAGCACAGGGATAACCTAGCTTTGAGCACCTGTCTTCAGCTTTCTGCTAGTTTTACACTGATTTTTACAAGCTGCTTCAAAATTATTACTTCCTCCCACCCCTTTTGTCCCAAAGAGACAGCCATCCACATTTCATAGCACCAAGAATTTCTATCTTTTAAATATAGAACATACCTTGAAATTTCCGACCTGATAGGAATTCTAGATAAGCATTAACTTGTATTCATGCAAATTCTTGACTAATTGTATTAAACGTGTTTTATAATTAATATTAGTGTTGCAATAGCCTCTTTTCTCTCATGGTTAGCACCATTCCAATAAAACTGCATCTGATATGAAATCCCAGTACCAAAGAATATAACCCATTTGCTCTACTACAGTTTTTCTATTACCGTGCAATCATTTGAAAGATAATATTGAATATACCTTCAATTAATTTAGCATTTAAGCAAATAAAAAAGAATTTAACAGATTCTTTAACAATTCTGTTCATTAAATCCAGATCTTGTTTTGTATTCTTTTCAGTCTTGCCTCAAAAAAATGTAACTTTGAGCTCAGATCCTATATTGACAACGTGGAATTTTTTGTGGGAAGTTAACCATGATTGAAAATTTTGCGTAGTGGGTTTTTTTTTTTTCCTTAACTGCCTAAAAAAAAAATTCACTGTTATACCTCTTTAAGAACAGAAGTGTGAAGTATCTTGTATTCAGATTATGCATATGGAAGATGAATCTGTATGTTGTTTTCTTTTAGGAATAATAAAAGTTGCACAGTGTAAATTCAGGCTACCTTTGCGGTTAATTTGCTTACCAACGCAACCTTCAAAAACAGCAAACCACAAGCTAACTATTGACACCAATAAACCTCCCGTCAGTTTTCTCACCATTTTTCCAGGTAGGATTTTAAATGTGTCCGTAAGAGGAGATGCATTCGTAACTCAGACTGGAAACTTTTGACAATCAGTAGTAATTAAATAATAAACAAAACTAATATCAGAATGTTTTCAAAATATGTTTCAAATGAAATGATGGAATAACATTTCAAGAGGGGTTACCCATCTTGGCTAATATTATATGTGCGTCTGTTAAAACTGCTGATTTGTTTACACAAATGTGTAATTTAGCTTAACAAAATTCAGGCAAAAAAAGGAATACAGTTACCTTCAGTAAAACTTCAAGGGTATATCTTTGACCTAAATGATAATGTTAGCAGAAGAACAAGTGAATAAACTGGGTTTTTAATATGACTGTGAATAAATTTAGTCTGAAAATCCTAAAGTTTCTAAGGCCCTGACACAGTCTCTTGATGAGCTGTATGGGCCAACAAATTTAAAAGTGAAATGAGCTGTTTCTGAAAAGATTAAATAATACGTTAGTCTGAGCTATCAAAGGACTGAGTATGAGTTTTTTGTAGCCTGGCTTTCATCTTTTTGACAGTGAACATACCTTTTTCTTTCCGATATGTATGTGCTGTGTAACATTTCCCTCAAGCATAAATATTAATTTAAAAACTTTTCTTTTAAAGACCTACATTTCTATATTTTAGTCATAGGTTTCTGTTATGGTGAAATGATAATAAATGTGTTGATGATGAAATTCTGTTTAGAGATAATCTTAAAATAGAACACTTTGTTTTTAACTTAAGGATTCATTGTTGAAAATATAAGATAAAGGATAGACCTGTTGTCCCAGAGGGAGGTGATATCTTGTTTTCAGTGATGGAAAGGAAGCATGAAGTATGTGGTTTATGATGTGATCTGTGAGGAAACTTTGGATTTTTGGTGTGCTTTTGGATGGGAATTGTATCCCTTCTACTTCTTGTTTCGCTTATTTTAGGAGAAGGGTTGTGAGGAGATGTGATTTATAGTACTTTTTAAAATGGGGTGGTGCTTTTAAAAATTGAGCTTTTTTAACCAGATGTGGTCTAATACATACAATTTAAAGGAAGAAGGGCAGCAAGATCTTTGCAAAGTAGTTAATTTTTGCAACCTAGATATTTTTTGTCATGTATGCAGGAAAAACAGAAACAGAACTTGAAAAATCTAAGGGCCATTTAAACAGTTTAATGGTAATTTTATATAGACATCTGAGCTAAAGGAGAGCTACAGTGAGTCCTGCATCCATCAAAAGTGATGGTCTTTTCGACTGTGCAGTACTTACAATTTTTATTTAATGATACAGCAGAACCTCTGGAGAAACTGCCTTTTCTAGATGTATGCAATGAGTTGTGAGAAGAAAGCATGGCTTAGCTCCCTCTCTGTATATGAACAAACATAGAAGGGAGTGTGTACTAAAATACCCATGAAATTCTTTACTTCAAATTACTCCTCCTAGGTTGCTCATGCAAAACTTGATATAATCCCTTGCTTTTGCTTGAAGTTTGGTGTATACTAGTGTTGAATTATAGCAAGCTAATCTTGAATTTCTTTTAGACTTTGCTGATCAATCTGAAGAGGACCAATCTAATGCCCTGGGATTTCAATTTTTAACTGGTTCAAAAATCACTCTTCTTGCTTCTAAAACATCACGTAAGTGATATCAATATTAATTTAAATGTAAAATATAAAAAATGATAGGCCATGAAAGAAGAAATAGATCATATGTAGAAGGAATCTCTAGGAATTTACACAAGGTTTTCAAAGTGTTTATAAACCATTTCTTGACAATCTCTATTAACTATCTAGAAATATTGCTGGAAAGTCACAAACTTCTAAAACTAAACAAAAATCATACTTAGAGTGTGCTACAGTAACAAGTCTTTAGAGGAATTGAATTTTCTTCAAGTTTTTACTTTTAACACCATCTTAATTATGATGACATTATTGCATTTTGAATAATGAAGGAAAAAATCTTTCCTCAAAAGTGTTTAAATTATGTTTGGAAGTAATCATTTATGGGAATTTGCAAAAAGGTCGAGAAAGTGTTTCTAACTCCCTGTAGATTTTCAGTAATCATTGATATATAGCCTCAGCCTTTTGACCCACCTAGATGTTTTTCTGCATCTGAGTGAATACCTGTCTGTATCTTCAGATGCCTAAATACTTTTGTAAATCTAGGGTGTGGGTATTCATATCCTTCCTATCAAATTAATGGAGTGTACAAACATGTATGTAGCTATACTGTTACCTGGTTCAGTGTCTTTGTTATTGGAGCAGTGTTTGAATTAAGTGGTTGTGTTCCGACCAACTTGTGTTTGTACTCTTCAAAAAATTGGCTCTCAATTTTGGAGAGTTATGGAGTTGCCTTGTGCAACTACTCAAATTATTAATGTCTTTCTTGGCATGTGCATTGGAACCAAATTAGTTCAACTGCTTTAGCATTTTCCATGCCATGAAGTCTACATTTAATACCGCAGATTAACAAACTGTAAAGCTAAAATACCTTCTACTCAGAGTTCAGATGGAACACTGTATGAATACTCTATGAAAACTATTTAGTAAGAGTGAAATGAATGAAAACATGTGAGAGATAAGAATCTGGTTTGTTGATGTGATATTCTTTAAATATATATAAAAATAATCTGCCTCATTGTGTTTTCAAAATTCAGAATTCATGATGGGTTATATAAATATTACTGGTATCAGCTGTAAACTGTGAGATAATATTAAATACCTTTTACATGTAATCAAATGGGTTAAAAATAGAAACTATCTGAAGAGTAATTGCTAAAGAACTTGCATTATACCAGGAATCATTTTACACTTCTAAGCTTCAAGTCCATTCTAATTAGTTTGTGTATGCACTATTTGTATGTTGAAATGTTGTAGATGCTTTTTAATACTTGTTTATATAGACAGTAGATTTTAAATGGTTTGAACTAGACATAGCTTTAAGAATAGCTAGACATACAGTGATAGTTTCTAGAAGCTAAACAATCTAAATCTTTTATGAATAGCTATTTCTTTTTGAATGACAATTTCAATCATTTACTTGGTCTTTGATTTGTATATCGGATGCTTATATAAGGGACAAATTTGTGTCAATTTTAACTGTTATTGGGGACATAACTTTCTGTTCTTCAACCAAAATGCTCAAGCTTTTCCTCTCAGGTTTGTTTATTCTCTCGCCAGGAATGACGCACGCAATCTTACTGTAAACTTTCCCACATTGCTTTAGTTGTGAAGTTTGCTTTAAGAGGAAGATATAAAATATCTCTTTTTCTTTAACATAATTACTCATTTCTCTTGTCTGGGAATCCTTCCTTTAGAAAACAATGAGGTGTTTGATGCCCTCTTTGATATAGAGAACAGTTCCCAGTGTTTACCTTGAGAGCTGCATTACTTGCAGATTTTTTCAGAGGATTTTGTTCATTTGAAATGTTATTTAAATAAAACTGTAAAAAAATGTATTACACAAGGAGAACATTTTTGTGAGCGGAGGCTATGTGTATCATGACCAATACCAGACAACAGTCCCTACCTTTTCAATGGGAAGGATTGTCTACAGCCATGAAAGCCTCCAGGTTCCGTTGGGTTTCAGTGCTAAACCTGCCAAAAAGGGATGCTATAATGATATCTGTTTTTTAATTTATTTTTAGATGTATTAACTAATTAATTTTAAACAGTGTGGGAATTGAGGAAGATATTTTAACCTGCCAATGTGTCTGCTGAAAAGTAGTGTAGCCTGCAGTTCATTTTGACATTTAAATATGTAAAAATTAAGCTTGTCCTTGAGACTTTTTGGTTGTTTGCTACCATTTTTTAAACCTCCGCACTTTAATTCAAGTGTAAAGTGCTATTTGTGATTGTTTTCTATTATGATTAGTACTTCCTTGATAGGAACTGAACAGAATCTTCTAGACTGCATTCAGATAAGCTACCAGCAGGGCAAATAATCATCCTTGCAGGTTACCTTAGTAGTACCTTAGTAGTAGTAGTTACCTTAAACCACCTGCTCTAGTTTTAAAGCCTTTGTAGCCTATTAGAACTCTGCTGATTCTCTGACCGTTCTGTGTGAGAATTTTCTGAAAAGAGTGTATTATAATTTTCTGTAGGAAAGCTTTTTTAAAAAAGGCTAACATAAACTGCATCACAATTAGAAAAGCACTGAAGGAGCAGAAGCCCACTTTTTGTTGTTATTGCTTCTTTTTTTTTATTGCTTCCATTGTGTTTCTGCATAAAAGCACATCTTAGGAAACTGAAAATCTCTAGCTGTACTACAGTTGCCAAATGCAATTTATCTTTTTCTTAAGAGCTGTAAGATCACATAAAACAAACGACTGTAGTGCTCTACTTGTGCAATAGTAAAATTAGATTGTATTTGTATTGACCAATAACCAATGTATGGAAACTGAATATGCATTTTGGAGGAAATTAGTTTTATCCATTTGAAGCCATTAATGTATTGGTTACATCAATGATAAATGGAATGAATGTTGGTTTGGTCTGAAAACATCTGAGATAATTTCACATACAAAAAAATCATTTAAGGGAAAATATGATGAGATATCCAACTAAGTCCAGATATTATATTGTGAGTATTTAAAAAATGGATATTAGGTTGAATGTTATCTTTAGCAGATGGAGTTCTTTTCTTTAACAGACATGGTTTTTAAACAAAACCTGCTTTTTTTTCTGTTACACTGTAAACAGAATTTCTCTCTTCAGTGAAATGTGTATCCTGGGAATGATGCCAGTGGTAATGTCAAACAATTCGGTATTGCTAATGTTGAGAAAGTCCTAAAAATTAAAATCCTAAAAAAATTTCGTTCATTTGATTTTAATGTGAACCGTGTTAACAAGGGCTGGGGGGAGGTGGGATTGAGAGTATTTTGTATCAATAATCCCAACAACTGTTACTCATCATGGCTTCTTTTTGTTTTTTCTTTTGGATAAGGTATTGATAGATGAATAATGAAAGAAAATAAGGCAATGGTATTTGAATATGGCTGTCTGACAAAAAAGAAACATTACTATGCTATTAGGATTTTCAGCAATGTTTTCCTGTCAATATTTAGTTAATTTTGACTTCCTGGAAAATGAAGAGATGTAAATATGGAGTAGAAGCAGAAGAGAAATAAAGTGTCTTCCCATTAGTTTGATATTTTGAAATGTATTAAAATGTGATAAGCTGAGTGATTTTTATGGGACAGATAACATTGGCTGAAGGTTTTTTTTCATTTCAGTTTATGATGTGCTACATATGTGTTCGTGGATATATTTTTTATATATATATATTCTAAATATTTGGTTAACACCATTGAACAAGTATACCTTATTAAAGCCTCTAGTATGGACTTTGTATGTATTTAACAACTCCATGAAAATTTTCTGTATTGAGTACAGTAATATATAGTGAATGTGTCTGGCTTAAGTTTACGCATTTAGTCTTGTATTTAATCTTGTTTTTAAAGAACGATACAGAATCCAGAGTGATCAGCTAGAAGATCTTTGGCTAATAACAAAAGAGCTCACACTTAGACTTAAAGAACATTTCAAGAAGCAAAACTGCAAAGACTTCACATGTAGCTTTTCTGGTTCGATTCCCCTGCAGGAATATTTTGAACTAATTGATCGACATTTTGAGGTATGTTACATAATATATGACTATCTAACTAACAGTTTCCCTAGTGGAAAGTCATTTGTAAGGCACCACTAAGATGAATTTGGTTAAAGGTTAAAATTGCATAGCGGTGGCACACAGGAAGCTGTAGCTAAGGTAATGCTGGAAAAGATACCATTCTGTTTAGTTTTTAGCATGTGGAGTATGTCTTGCCTTTGAAACGATCCTTGTGATTGTCAAGCCCAAGCAGTTTATGTGAAGTCTGCAACTAATACAAATTGGGGGTACTCATTTAGTTCGTGAGCCATCGGTTCTTCACTCACTAACATCATGTTAATTGTGAAGTTGTTTCTAAAATTTGTCCTTGGTCATAGACTGTTTTAGTAGTCTGTAATAAAGAAGTCTTGAACATTTGTTTCAGTATCTTGGTGCTAATACAAAAAGTACCTTTAGATTTTAAAATATTAGTTGCTCATCTAAATGCATCATTGCAGACATGAACACATTGACCAGATAAGGTATGAAACATATGAATGATCCTTGCCTTCCTGTTTGATCATGCAGATGACAATGAAAACCCTCTCCTGAAAAAAAACTCGCTCTTAAGAGATGTTTATGTTGTAGAAAAATATACTGGAAAATGAAAAGTTCATTATAAAGTAGGAATTCTTATTATGTGGACATTTGATATACAGTCTTGACAAAGTTCTGTGAACGTATTAAGAGAGTGGTTTACTAAATCTGGTCAATATATAAAGAGGAAAAAGAATTTCACCTCAGAAAAAAGGTGATTGTTCAACTGGCACAGAACTTAATACTTCATGTTCAAGGGTTCTTTTTATTTTCAAAATGTTCAAAATCTTTTATTTTCTAATGCAGTGATTATCACATCTACTAATTTTTACACACATGTCACAAATTGTCAAAAATTACATGCAAAGCTAAGGAGATGCCCTCAGTGAAGCATCCTGAGAATGGTGAAATATCACTTTTGTCATTTATGGGTTTTGATGACATTCGTGTCCATTATTACAGATTGTGTCTGTCAACATCTATTCGTGATTTCAGTGGCAACTGATGGCTTTTTCACTGTTGTTTCATGAAGAGCTTGAAATTAACCGTATTAGTATGAACTGGCTTGGGAAACATAATCACATTTGAATGAATGCATACACTCTTAAGTATGTTATTGCTGTTCTCCCTTTTCTTTGGGATTGTGCATATATCTGATTTCTTGAAAACCTTTAAATTGCAGCTACGTTTGAATGCTGAAAAGCTTAAGGAGATGTTATCTGAAAGGGCTGTTCAGTTTAGAGCTATTGAGCGACGACTACTGACACGGTTCAAAGATAAAACTCCTGCTCCTCTTCAACATCTGGACACCTTGCTGGAAGGAACATTCAGAGAGGTCAGTCCAGTTTGATTGTGAACCTAAACTTTCTTTATATCGTTGTTAAAACTTAGTTTAAAGCATATAAGCTATGCTTTCCTGGTTACATTTGCCATCCAAAAGACCAGGAAGCAGTAATTTGTTTAACCTAATATTCCCTGTAAGTTTCCAGATGATTTGCAATGGTTTTATTTAATCTGCAACCACAAAATTTTTACTCCTGGGTCACACTGGCTTGACAGCACATCATTCTTTTTTAACTGATGTTGATAGTGTAAATATTTGATAGTTTATGTGAAAATATTTTATAGTTCATAGCTTGTGTAAATATTTTATGGTACATTGTAAACTGGTGGAATGGTTTGGCGACTGCTGTAACATTCACAACAAAATAGTCTGAGGCTGACCATGTCCTTCCTTAGGAGGTTTTTATGTTCTAATGGTTTCAGAATGCAATAGCTGCAGATTTTTTTTTGTTTCATTCATTCCTAAACCATACCCATCCTGGGAGTACACAAGAAGGACAAAAAAAACCCACCAAATTTTCTTCTTCCTGCCTCAGCCCTGCAGTGCTTTAGAATAACCCTTGTTCCATGATGCATCCCCTTATGAAGTTCCTTATTGGTATTTTGTACATTTATATTGGAGGATCTGATACATTAATCATGGAAGGAAGTTTCCTCTAACTTACAGATTAGTTTCTCTAATGCAAACAGTAAAAGTAGTTTTTCTTACCGCCTTCATGTATTTGATTGTCATCATATACAAATGCAACAGCATGTAAAGATAGTCTTGTTTTCAGTAAGGAATCTAATTGTGGCACAGCTTCTTTAGTAGGACAGGTTAGAAAATATATGAGTTGAATGAGCCTTTGTTTCCATTTTTACCATTAATGAATATAGGTATTGTTGGCAAACGTGTCATTCTTTAGCACTTTGAAATAGCACAACTAGATCAAGCTCCAAAGATCAACTGAATAAAGTGGCTCTCTTGAGTCTGCTTTTGATATGCATATGCATGTTGCCTTTAAAATTAATGCAGCTGGGGTGTGTTTGACAGTATTCTGATGCACTTGAAAAATCGAGCCCGACCGTATGACCAAAATCACATAGTTGATCTTGATGTACATTCTGGAAGAATCACAAAATCACAGAATGGCTGAGGTTGGAAGGAACCTCTGGAGGTCATCTAGTAGAATCCCCTGCTCAAGCAGGGTCACCTAAGGCATGTTGCCCAGGACTGAGTCCAAACAACTTTTGAATATCTCCAAGGGTGGAGGCTCCACAACCTCCCTAGACAGCCTGCTCCAGTGCTCTGTCAGCCTCACACTAAAGAAGTCTTTCCTCATATTCAGATGTTCTTTCCGGTATTTCAATTTGTGCCTGCTGCCTCTTGTCCTGTCTTGTCCTGGACACCCCTGAAGAGAGTCTGGCCCCATCCTCATTACATCCGCCCCTGAAGAACTTGGACACATTGATATGATCCCCCCTGCTCTGTCTTCTGTTCTACCGGCTGGAAAGTCCCAGGTCTCTCAAGCTTTTCTCTTATGAGAATTACTCCACTACCCTAACTCCCTAGTAGGCCTTTGCTGGTCTTGCTTCAGCAGATGTTTGTCTTTCATGCTGTGAGGATTGCAGAACTGGACAAAGTACTCCAGATGAGGCCTCATCAGGGCTGAATGACGAGGAAGGATCACCTCCCTCAACCTGCTGGCAAAGGCTTTGCCTACTGCAGCCCAGGATGTCGTTGGCCTTTCTGGCCTCATGGGCACGTGCTGGCTCATGTTATCCAGCAGGCTTCCCATGTCCTTGTCTGCAAAACTGCCTTCCAGCAGATGAGCCCCCTGCCTGTATTGATGCATGGGGTTGTTTCTCCCCTGGGTGCAGGACCTCTGTATTTGCCTTTGTTGAGCTTCCTGAGGTTGCTCTCTGCCTGTTTTTCTGTCCTGTTGAGGTTCCTCTGAGAGGCTGCACAGCCCTCTGGCATATCAGCCACTTGCCTCCATGTGGCATTATCAGCAAATTGATAATTGTTAAATAAGTTGGTAATTCATAAGTTGAACAAGACTGGACCCAATACTGACCTGGGGGACACTGCTAGCTATAGGCCTCCAACTGGACTGCGCCGCTGATCACAACCCTTTAAGCTCTGTCATATGGACAGTTCTCAGTCCATCTCACCGTTCACTCATCTATCCTCCTCTTCCTGATCTTGCCTTACGACGATTTTATGGGCAACAGTGTCAAAAGCCTTGCTAAAGTCAATGTAGACAACGTCTATTGCTTTCCCCTCATCTACTCAGCTAGTCATCCCATTGCAGGTGGCGCTCAGGTTGGTTAGGTGTGATTTCCTCTTCATGAATCCGTGCTGACTACTCCTGATCACCTTCTTGTCTTTCGCATGCTTCAGAGATGGCAGCCAGCATGCGCTGTTCAATGCCTTTCCAGGGCTGGGGGAGAGCCTGACTCACCTGTAGTTGCCCAGGTCCTATTCTTTCTACGTTTTTTATTTGCAGGTTTCTTTACCCCAAATCAGATGGATCATTTTTTCAATTACTATTGATATGTACTTTCAAAAACTTTATTAACTCTTTCTCTAGTTGTAAAAAAAAAAAAAAGGGAAAAAAAAAGGAAAAAAAAAGTTGAGGGGGGAAAAAGATTACTTTTCAGAGAAGAAATGCTTACATTTTTCCATATTTGTTAAAACTTTATGTAAGCTTTTCTTTGATAGATTCACTTCGTTTATTTCCTTTTGTTTGCGTGAGACTCTCTGCAATGCACAAATAAAAATATAATAAAATAGTAATTACCATAGGGACCCCAAGACTTTGTATATTTTGTAAGCAAGTCCTGGGGTAGGTTTTAATAAGGTCTCTTTGCTATATGGATGAAGTGAAATTGCTTGACTATATTTTCTATGCAAAGAGAAAGACCTTTGCTAGTATTGCTTTCTTTTTTAAAAGTGAATTTCATTTTCTGTCTTTATTATTTCAACAAATATATCTAACACAAAAATTTAAAGCATTCAAAAGACAACATATAGCTTTCCATTAACGAAATGTGTAAATATGCGTAAATTTGCGTAAATATGACCAGTATGAAATCTTATTCCGAAAATTCTTTTAAGTCCTTTTGACATTGAAATGAATACTGATGTTTCTGGAGAATACTAATTTTCATAAGAACTGTTCAAGCATATCTTCTTTTTATTTCTTTTGGAAGAGTCTGTTTTGAGCACATTTGGTTCTGTTTCTCATTGAAGAATGCATTCAATGAGGAATGGCGATCTATACCCTGTAGAAGTTAGGGGAAGCATTCCTATTAGGTTCAGTGGAATCTGAATTGAATCCTCAATGAAAATAATATGAAAGATTTAGGGTTTGGGTTTTTTTCTAGAATTTGTCAATCTGCCCATTCTATTACATTTTTAAATATTAGATAGAAATTTTTATTTTTATTCCATCAGTTATCATTGTGCCTATATTTTTGTTTAAAGAGAAGAAAAGAATTTGCATCCTCCTCCCTCCTTTGCACTGCAAATGTATTCAATTATGTGCAAGAGAAAGCCTTCATTTGTTACCTTTCATACTGAGTTTTATAGTCAAAAGGCAAATGCACATATTTGTTATTCTGAACTACTTCATGAAGAAAGTCGTATGTGTGAAAGGTATATGCAGATATGCAGCCATATATGTGTATTAAGCCTATAGATGCTAAGCTGGAGAAAATTAATCAGGCAGCATTTGACTCTTCGGTAAGAAGCATTCTAGTTGTGATATAATTTTTCTATTAGCCTTTGTACAAGAACACAAGGCAGGATGTATTCAATGCTACAATAAAATTACTAATGTGTTCATTATAAATGTATCCTTACCTATTAGTCCTCGCAATGAGAGGGAAACATAGAAACAGACTTCAGTATCTGCAGCAATGAAAGACTTCCTTTTGTTTTTTTATGTACTGATTAATGTTTGCTTACAGAAACGCTCCGTATAACCTATAAATCTGTGAAATAATTCCCCAAACTTATATATATTTGCCCAAAACTTCCATATATTTGGGAGAATTGGCGAAAACTGCCATGTATTGGGGGAATGTGCCATATATGGCAATAATGGGAAACTGTCGTGTAGTCCAAACCTACCATATTTGGAAATAATGTAGGAAACTGAGATATATGGCAAAATCTGCCATATTTGGAAATCATGGTGGCGGGTGCCGTATATGGCAAAATGCAGTAAACTTCCAGAAGTCTAATTTTCTGCTTTTTTTTCCAAGCAAAGTTGGAATTGTTTCCAAATTCTGCCCCCTGCCCCCCTCTCTTAAATTAGAACAGAGGCAAGGGCTCTAAATCTAATCAAATCTAATTAGCTTGCAAATATTTAACCAATAGCTAGAGGTGGCTTTTTAAGTAGTAAATAATGAGGAGTAATTAAGGCAGCAAAGGCAAAAGGCTACTAATTTAGGACATTTCTATGGTGTAGTGTTTAAATTACAGGTTTTATACAAAGTGCATGGGCCAATGCACAAGAAAAAGAATCCAATTTTAATGGAATGCAGAACAAATTAACATTTTAACATTATAATACTGCTCAATTGTATAATGGGGTTTTGCTAAGTGTCACAGAACAGAAAATAAAAGTAACCCTCCAAAGTATGCTCATTTACCTCTTCAAGCTCAATATATGACAGGCTTACTGACGGCAGTAAGTAGACACTTGGTACATAAAAGACTCCGAATTCAAAGGTCTTTAGTAGGTGTAGGGGTTTTCCTGTCCTGACCCCTCAAGTAAATTGGTGCAAAGAGTAACAAACAATGAGCAAGATAAAAAAAAAAAAAAACGTTATTCATATCCAACACTTAAAATTTCCTAAAGGGAACTACATGGAAGGTACCAGTTAAGCACAACTGAAACATACATTAGATCTGTGAGATGCCAGTTACCAAAAAGAACTGAAAAAAACTTTTTCCCCCCCACCTTTTTTTGTTAATTTACAGATTTTGCCCATAATATTATT